GTTACTTAGATGGATATTCCAGATGTATCTAAACTGCTTTTATTAGGACAATGGAGAGATCCAACCCTTTCTTCTAAATGCAATCAAGAATGGTGTGGCTTTGCCTTTGTAATTTTACAAGGGGTTGTATTACGTAACTGGAAAATTGTCTCCCTGAGAATAGAGAGAATTTGTTAGCAGAAAATGCAGCTTGGAACATGCTGATGTAAAGCTTCAATCCAAGAGAGAAACCTTTTAAGTTGCTGAAATGTAGAGCAGAGGAAGAAGGAAATTGCTGTTTTACATGATTGACCAAAATGCACTGTAATTATATCAACTTGAAACAGATTCCTGAGAAAAACTGATAACTCTGTGATCAGAATAAGTCATGTGTAGTGGAATGGAATACTGCAACCAAATACTGCAAGTACTTTCTCCGCAAAGTGTAGACATGATATATGTGAGATGCACGGTAGAAGAGACAATTGTCCTTAACTTATCCTGTATAATGGGGCCTCCCGCTGCTTTAGCATAGTTAAGAATGGAAGGGAAGCTTTACTGGGGCATTAGTAGTTACCATGCCTGCCCATCCTTTTGCATTGCTCATCCAACTCAGTTTATGGACTCTGCTCCTGTAATGTTATTTTGATGTTGCTGCTCCTGGTTGTAATTAACTCAGCATCACTCATCAGTCAGCTCCTAAATGAAGCACACCTCAAAGATTTCATGGACTTCCCTTCCTTGTTGCCTGTTCTAAAATCTGTGGGTAAAGTTTAATTACAGATATGTAACCCAAAGATATTCTTTCTTTATTCCCCCCCTTCCAATGACTCTGCAAAGCACTATTTCCCACCCATAAATAGTTGATCATCCCCAATAAGAGTGGTGCTAGTTTCAATACAGTAAAACTCGCTGGCTAGCATCTGATACTCTGAGACACTTTTTCTAAACAATAGTTTTTGTGTATGGTAATCATTTGTTTGCACATCTCCTTCACCTTACTGAAAGCTTCTACAAGGCAGGGCTTTGCCTTATTTCTTTGTAAGCCCCCAAATGGTAGAGTGTATAATACACAGTTGTGTTCAAGAACTCTTATTAACTCAATGAATAATAGATTGGAAATAATTATCTCTTGGGTTCTGAAAAGAGAAAACAAAATTGCAACTAGTAAGCAAAATGTCTAGAGTTGTGAAATCATCATACTCTGTCTTCACGTTTGCACAAGCTATCAGAAAACCCACCTGGGAATAACCTGGGAATGCAGACATCATAGGCAAAGCTGAGGTCTCTAACCCCGGCAGGGAAGGAAAGGGTAAGGTTGAATGTCTAGGCATAGCATGTGCTTGCCTGGCCCATCTGCTGACTTGTTCACAGACCCATCTGGAACCAGGGCTACACAATGGTGCAGTGGCCATCCTGAGGTAGCTGGAGTGCTGAGGGGAGCAGCACAAAAGGTCAAGTACTTTATACTGGGCTTTGACTTTAGCTCCTACATACCTTCTACCAAACCACTTCAAGTCTCCATGCACCCTGAGTAACCAAGTGCATGCAGCAAGCAGAGTACTATAACATTTTCCCTAAGGAAACCCAGGGTAGGAGGCTGTGGTGTTCGCTTCCCCATTTAAAAGGACAGCTTTCCCTCACTGGCCATTGTTCTTGTCATTTCCCCACCTGGAATGCTTCCCCCTGGTTTACTCTCTGACTCCCACAAGGACCAGCTGAAATCCTTCTTTCCTGAAACCCTTCCTGACCCTCTGCAGAAAGCAGTAATTGCTCCCCTCGTGAACACCTGGACAACCCAGTGCCGATGCTACTTCATATTCCGCATATTTCCTCTTATATAGTTATTTGTTTCTTATATTTCTTTCTTGTGCTTCTTGAGGTTGAAGGTAATACCCTGGATTTTTGTAAAACCTGTAGCATCTTAAATCATATGGCACACATTAAGAAAATAATTGGTGATTTGGGAAAATGCATCTAGAAAGGAATTTGCTGAGGTAAATGAACTTAATGAAAGCTTATTACAGATATTATGAGGCATCTATGCTTATATGATACTTTCATAATATATAAAACTATTTTGAATAATTTTTTTAAAAGAACAGTTAGAGAAGAGTACTGGTTTTACAAACAAGATGTAAGGAAGGGTTTTATACTCAGCAATGAATATAGGTTACAAATATGCAAATACAGAAATGAATATTCTTATTTGAACTAGAGCCAAAGTTGTATTTTAGAAATTGCTCTGTATGTTTCAAAGTTATTTGTTGTCTAGGGTCAGTGGCTCATGCCTGTAACCCCAGCACTTTGAGTGACCGAGGCGGGAGGATTGCTTGAGCCCAGAAGTTCCAGACCAGCCTGGGCAAGAAGAGGAGACCCGCATCTACAAGAAAATTGTAAAAATTAGCCAGGCGTGTTGGTACATGCCTGTAGTCCCAGCTCCGAAGGCTGAGGTGGGAAGATCCCTTGAGCTTGAGCCCAGGAGTTCAAAGATGCTATAAGCTGTGATCGTACCACTGCACTCCACCCTGGGAACAGAGCAAGACTCTGTCACAAAAAAAAAAAAAAAAAAAAAAAAAAGGAGAATATGTTAAATGTGTCATTTTTAAAAATTAAGGAGAAAATGACTACCCAACAAGCTTGCCCCTTTCATTATATTTCTGCTCTCTTTATTTATACTCTAGCATCATTATTTCTTACCCAAACCATTGTAGCTCCTTCCTAATTGTTCTTCCTGCCATACCCCCATTCTAATCCATCCAGTCTGTCAATAGATATTCATTTACAGATTTGTATTGCAAAGAACTCTGCTAGAAGATTGAACTCCCTCTTCTCTGAACAGTACTCTCTTGCACAAACATATGTAGCAACTTTCTACTTTACCAAACCAAATGTAATTCCAGCCTTGCTTTGCTTTTCAGTATTATCCCACACTCACTCTGGCCATATGCCCAACTGCTTCAGTCAAAGCAGTACTTTCATTCTTCTGTCTGATATGTGTCAGTTTGCAGCATAATGCCCTGAGGCCTAGAATTATAAAATATATTATTCTTAGAAGTAGACGTTGTGGCCATATCATCAAGCCAATGATCTACAAAAATCATTTTGAACTAAATAACATCAGAAGTGTTTTTGAAAAGCTATTTTTAAAAACCAGGTAAAATTTTGGTGATAACTGTGGAGGGAATTCCCTCCCACAGAAGGAAGAAGAGCCCTAACTTACAACAGGAACAATAAAGTAAAGCACAAGGAATAGGCAGGCTAAAGAACCCAAAGAATAGAGAACAGCTCAGGTATGGGAGAAATGGGAGTACTTGTCATAAGCCTCTTTAAGACAAACTCCAGAGCAAATACAAAACAAAAAGATAAGCCCTTGTACTGTAAACTGCCACATTTGGAGTGCTAAGAGTTCGGAGATGCATGATCATATGCAAAAAGAAGAAAAAAGAATTTAACTTTCAAAAATGAGATGCATGTTTATTGAGCTCTAAGTATATACAGGGCACTGTGCTTCTGTGAAAGTCGAGATAGCCTGAACTACCCAGAATGATCAACCTTGTTCTATCATGGAGTAGTGATAGTAAACTGTAGAGTAATACAACCTCAATATACAACCCCAACTCTTGCTTTAAGTGCAGACCCCTGCCTGCCAGAATGAATTCCAAATTTACTATCAGGATCAAAGTTAGGCCCTATTACCTACTCTGTATTTTCTTTTATTTCACTTTGAGTTCTGGGGTACATGTGCAGAACATACAGGTTTGTTGCATAGGTATACATGTGCCATGGTGGTTTGCTGCACCTATCAACCCATCATCTAGGTTTTAGGCTCCATATGCATTAGATATTTTTCCTAATGCTCTCCTGCCCCTTGCCCCTTCAGCCCCCGACAGGCCCCTGTGTGTGATGTTCCCCCTCCTGTATCCATGTGTTCTCATTGCTCAGCTCTCACTTATTAGTGAGAACATGAGGTGTTTGGTTTTCTGTTTCTGTGTTAGTTTGCTGAGAATGATGGCTTCCAGCTTCATCCATGTCCCTGCAAAAGACATGAACTCATTCTTTTTTATTGCTGCATAGTATTCCATGGTATATATGTACTACATTTTCTTTATCCAGTCTATCATCATGGGCATTTGGGTTGGTTCCAAGTCTTTGCTATTGTAAATAGTGCTGCAGTAAACATACATGTGCATGTATCTTTATAGTAGAATGATTTATAATTTTCGGGGCATATACCCCAGTAATGGGATTGCTGGGTCAAATGGTATTTCTAGTTCTAGATTCTTGAGGAATCACCACACTGTCTTCCACAATGGTTGAACTAATTTACACTCCTGCCAACAATGTAAAAGCCTTCCTATTTCTCCACATCCTCTCTAGCATCTGTTGTTTCCTGAGTTTTTAATAATTGCCATTCTACCTGGTGTGAAATGGTATCTCATTGTGGTTTTGATTTGCAGTTCTCTAATGACCAGTGATGATGAGCTTTTTTTCATGTTTGTTGGCCACATAAATGTCTTCTTTTGATAAGTGTCTGTTCATATCCTTTGCCCACTTTTTGATGGGGTTGTTTTTTTCTTGTAAATTTGTTTACGTTTCTAGTGGATTCTGAACCTTTGTACTAAATTGTCATCAAGGAATTCTCATTAAGATAAGAAATACCACCACTGGCTTGTTTCATATGCATCTTCAGATTTCTGAATTCTACATTAAAACAATCCACGATATCTGTGTATGCTTTTCACAAAAGGAAAAAGCATAAATGCCTCAGGGCAAATCTGCCTGGTTAAGAAATAGATGAAAATTTTTTTATAGATTTCATTAAAGTACAGAGAAATATAATTTTATGGCTATAAAAATAAGATAAAGATTGTTTAAGGCTAATAAATGAATAAAATTCATACCAAAGCAGAATATTCTAGATTAATCTGAAAAGCTGAGCTTCTAAGACTTTGAAAAATGAGAAAAGCCATTTGGCAAAATATTTAACTTGGATTTTTTTGGTTTAATTTTGCTTCTAGGTTTCAGATTCAGAGATGTGCAACTGATCCAAACAGTTATAAAAGCTTGGGAGACAGTTTTCGAATGATTTTCCAAGTGGAAGGGTATGTATATTCTTCATATAGTCACATTTTAATGTGTTTTTACTTAATATGTCTTCTCATTTTGAATGGTTTATTTTCCTAGTCTTAATAGGGGCAAAATACTTAAAAGGGTACCTTTCTACTTTGTCATGTTTTTCCTAATGATGTGATTGAAAACTGCATATATATATATATATATATACATATACACATATACACATACATACACACATACATATAATGGTAACTACCACAAGAATATATTAATAACTAGTTTAATGACTAGAGGATAATTCTTAATTTATGCCACTAGGGCTTTTTAAAGTTTCTATGACTGGGGCTAACTAAACTCAACAGTTCTTTATTTTGGTACTAAAATATAATGTCCAAATTCATTCCCCACTCACACTCTAGTTTATCAACATGCAAATAAAACAGATCTGTATCAAAAACTAATGCATCAAGGCTGGGAGCAGTGGCTGACACCTGTAGTTCCAGCTACTTGGGAGGCTGAGGTGGGAGGATTACTAGAGCCCAAGAGGAGGAGGTTGCAGTGAGTTAGGATTGCACCACTGCACTCCAGCCTGGACGACAGCAAGACTATCTTTAAAAAAAAATTGATACATCCAATTTATTACCTTATCTATTAAATGGTCAGATAAATTAGAATATTTGTTTACATAGGCTAAAATTATCTTCAATGTGTAGATTCAGTTAAAAACTGTATCCAATATAAGTTTTCAAAGAATATTATATTTGCTTTTGGAAGCTGATTTTATAAGAAAATTGGTTGAAAATAAAAATCTTTCAAAAATGTAACAATAATAATAACTAGTGTATATTTAGCTTCTATTATGTAGTAGGGATTTTCCTTACAACTTTATGATGTAGGTTCTGTTGGGTTCCATTTCAGTTAAACAGATAAACAAACCAAAACTCAGAGAAGTCAATAAGTTTCACATTTCAGGTGAGTAATGGAGCTGGGATTCAAATCTAGGTCTGCTTGACCCTAAAGCCCATGCTCTTAACTGCTGTAGATCACTACCTCCCTTGCCAGATTACACTATAAATACTATTCTGTCAATTATTTATTTCAGTTAAACTTATACTATGGATATCTTTCCATGCCAATATATTCTCTTTAACAACATAGTAATTTATTTATCTATATGCTGCAATTTATGAAATTAAACTCTATGGTAGACCTGTAGGTTGTTTCCAAATTCTTGCTATTGCAAACAATAGTGCAATAAATATTGTTATACTATCTTTGCACATTTGTGTGTTCATGTATTTATATATTTTAATATATAGTATATATTGATATATTTGTGTATTATATATTTTCATAACTTTTTTGTTTTTATGGTTTTAATATATTAATTCAATAAAGTACATTGCTAGCTATGGACTTACAGGATCAAATGATTATGCATGTTTTATATGAGAGATGTTGAAAAATTACCTTCCAAAAAGTATGTACTGATTTCATGGTTTCAAACTCCTAATCTCAAGTGATCTACCCACCTCAGCCACCCAAAGTGCTGGGATTACCAGGCATGAGCCACCACGCTCAGCCAATGCTGCCTTTTTCACATATTAAACTTCTACATATTCACCCTCTAATTTTCTATTTTGATTGTCCATTTCCTATTCTGTCTTATTCATTCATCTATCTCTAGCTATACCAGTGTCATACTGTTTTAATTATTTTAGAATAATTTATCTTCAGAATATTTGGTAAATATATAAAAATATACTTCATGGTATGAAGTTCAAACTTCTTATCATGGTGTGCAGAGCTTTCCTGGTATGGTCCTTCTTCATACTCAGATCTGCTCTAGGAATAGCAGATGGTTTGCGGCCTGGTCTCTCACTTTCTCAGGGCTTTTCCATGCTTTTCCCTATTCCTGGAGGACCCTATCCCCAACCCTCCCCTACAAACTATCCTTCTTCATTTAAAAATGACTTCATGTTTTATCCTCCCTGACTCTCTTTTCTATATCATATGCTAAATTATTTCCCCACTCTTTTCTTTCTCTACAAATGATATATAAAATATAGCATGCACTATCCTGTTTATGAAGCTCATTTTCTGTCTATCTCCCCTTTCCCACCAAAGAATATATTTCCTAAGGATCATGTCCCAATTAGCTCTGCATTCCTTATACTTGTGTTTGGCACTGCGTAGAGACACTCAGTAAGTACGCTAAACAAATGAACAAAAGTCATCACACCAACATCATAATGATGCAAAATGAAACAGAGACAATAATCCTTCTATAGACTACCCTCTCTGAAGTTATGATAATGATCTTGATGTTTGATTAAATATTTTGAGGTCACCTAGTGACAAAAGTCAACAAGTTCCTCCAGCTATTACTCTGGTAATGTAGTACTTAAATGCCCTACACTGATAACGTAAACCTTTATATTATGATAAGAAAGTTAAGGAAATCATAGCGTATTATGTAGCCAATGAAAGTATCCTTTTCCTGTACAACAGTAATGTCAACATTACTGCGATCTGTGAGCTGTAACAGATATCTCTGAATTGGATATGGCAGTTCCTTAGCCAAGCTCTTCAATTCGTGTGTGTTTTAGGAAGAATTTGATGTCTCTGCTTCTGCTTTGATATCAAATAATATAACAAACATACAGTATGTGTGGTCCCTGCATAGTAAAATTGGCCTTTTTCTATACTGTATGTATAATTGCTTCTAGAGCAAATTGCCATTCTTCCTGTGATGCCTTTAGATCTGGACATGTTGTTAGCCAAAAGCCAGAGCGCTCTAGTCTTAAAGATGGAAATATTTGTAAAAATACAAAATAAAAAGCTCCCTGATATTTTTTATACAGAGCAAGAGCATTTCATAGCCTTGGGTTAAATGAAAGAAAAAAAAACAAAACAAAAGAGAAAGAAAAGAAAAAAGCCTTTTAACACATGCTGTGTTAATTTTTTTCCTCCTAGTCAAATAAGTTCCTTTTGACTTTCTTATTAAGTTTTTACAGTCGCTCATTTTCAAGATGTTGTGTTTTTCACTCAGGTGCATAGAGGCCAGTTTGGCCTGTGGCCTGCAGGGAGGATAGCACTCATCAATTTTGACTACTGACATAGGAGAATTCACCTCTCCTGGATTTTCCTATTTCCTCCAAGTTAAAGGTTTCGAGAGCTCGTCATTTACTGTCATTTAAAAACATTAAAGTCTGTTAATACACTTAAAATCTGCACAGATCTCCCATTTCCCTAGTGTAAGAAAGTGAGATGGTTATCTCCACCATTCTTAGAGATGCAATTCCTCACCTCTCTACTCAAAATTCACTTGCTTTCAAGAGACAGTAGCTAAACCCCATGAATCCAAATCTCTTCGCTATTTCTAACATTCTTTTTCTCCTTAAAAAGCATAGATACATTGTACTTTTTATTAAAACTTTTTTAATAAAAAGCATGTCTTATGAAACACAGCTTTACAAAAGTGAAGTTAAAGCTTACAAAGACAGGCATTCCAAATTCCAAGTAAGGAATTCTATTATATGGAATCCTCATACTTAGCTAATTTTTACCAAATAGGCTGTTTCTCTAATACAGAAGAGAGAACTCATAGAAAATGAAGACATTAGAGAAATATTACTGTTGAGAGTACCTTCATCATCACCACAATTTTTCATCTGCGGTGGCTCACGCCTGTAATCCCAGCACTTTGGGAGGCCAAGGCAGGTGAATCATGAGGTCAAGAGATCGAGACCATCCTGGTCAACATGGTGAAGCCCCGTCTCTACTAAAAATACAAAAAATTAGCTGGGCATGGTGGTGCGTGCCTGTAATCCCAGCTACTCAGGAGGCTGAGGCAGGAGAATTGCCTGAACCCAGGAGGCGGAGGTTGCAG